ATATATATATGATCGCAGTCTTGAAAAAGACATTTCAAATTATTAATTACCTTTAGCAACACATAGTTACAGTCTGAAAGACACAAGCACCTCTTGCCATTTAATATACCAAGAACCCTCACAAGCACACACCCTCCAAATACCATCTAAGTAAAAAATTCAAACACTCAAAAATTCCAGCATTGTTCACTTTGCTCCACATTGAATAAATAATAAACAATTGAGTAAATGATTAGGTATTACTACACTACTAGGCCTACGCTTTTTGACATTACATAAATTCGACCCTCGAAACTTTTCAAATACAAAATTCCCACTGATTGATAATGATCTATAAAAAGGGTGTAAACCTACAAATTATGCTTACGTTTGGAGACTGGTCCGGACATTGTGTAAGTTGCCTTTCAGCTGTTGCTTCTATACTAATGCAGTGAATGAGCTGACAATAACACTGTAAAACCCATATCATAATTATGTTCACATGACAAACTACATTCACCAATTTACACTACACAATATTGATATCAGTACGCCGAATGTCTATTTCATTATTACGAAAATAATAATAAAGAAATCAAACTCTAGTAGGTTAACCGTTCACTACACAACAAGGGTTCAGACAAGCAGGGAATGACCCGTCTAATAATATTACATCATAATTACATTATATTAACGTTACAGTTTAGTGTTGAAAACGTTATTTTGTAGAACCATTAATACGTCATAAGATTTGAATGTTCCTGGAACGTTGTGTGGACGTTATTTCGTTACAATACCTAACTGCAACGTTCGCTAACGTTGTAAGAAAGTTCTGTGTTTGCTGTGGATGAATCATACCTTTCCAACTTTAACAATGGCAATATACAAGTACAGATGAGAGGTAAATGGAGCTGGTACACTTGATATTCCTTTCTCTACCTCCAGTGAAGCAACTAATAGGGTTCAATTATGCTCCTTCGAGGGGAATTTACAAAGATGCCAAAAGCAGGATTGCTGATGACATTGTTTTTTGCATACACAATTGGTCAAAGGAACACAAACACAAATATCCATACTCTCTTCAGATTTGACAGACTAAAAAATACATCGAAAACAGAGACAATGATATGAAATTGGGAAGAACAAGGCCTATACCCTCAACACATAATACAGATCAATACATGGATCAGAATTATCACTAGATTTAAATACCTTGGTGTTTGGAATACCAACATTGATATCCACGTTAGACAAAGGGAACTCTTCGCTGGGTTTGCTGGAAATAAAAACACATCCACAAATAGACACATTAAACTCTCTACTAGGATCACACTTTTTAACGTACTAATAATAATAATAATAATAATAATAATAATAATAATAATAATAATAATAATAATAATAATACTAATAATAATAATAATAATAATAATAATAATAATAATAATAATAATAATAATAATAATAATAATAATAATAATATCTTATTAGGCGCGCTTATCCATTTTTTAGCAGAACTGCTTGCCGCGCCGTTTTCCACCTGCATATTGTACTCTTTTTCCTGAATTTTTAAAAAAATCAATTAACTTTATTTTATGTATATTTTTTAATAACAGTAAAATTTATCAACATAGGTGTACGACGTCTGTCAATAGAGAAATTGATATCCTTTGCGGCCTCCCAGACCCACCCCAGCTCGGCACTAGGTACCTCGGAAGACGCCCCCACCCCTTTTTAAAATTCTGGCTGCGTCCCTGATCGAATGTACAGTTGTCTTCGTGCAGATGCAGAACATCCATCAAAATGCATAAGTAAACCAAGGTGTCCTGTGGCTACTACCAAAGAACTTAAATAGTAGAAGAATGAGCTGCTCCGCGTATTTGTAAGTGGAGAAACTACAGGAAACAAACGAACCAAAGCGGCTCCTTTATTTGTGCTATATAGCTCCGCCACGCGGATGGGGTAAAATTGCTGTCTGTGTACCCACAATGCCTTTGGAACGGATGTTCCACTATATTGGAAATCTGCTCTATCTTCTGCTATTTATTATCTTTGCTACTACATAAAATGTTGTACCAACTGGACAATACCGTAACCATGATTTTTATATAGGCCTATTATATTTGTTACCAGCTGAATGTGCAAGTTATGTTTAAAAAGATTAAATTACAATCACAGCATTTAGACAATTTAATTTATTGATCAAAGTTGTTATACTGTACCATGAAGTCTTATACTTGTTTCAACCGTTATATTTAACGTATAGGAAATAGGCTACTTTTGTTTCAGGTACAGGCTGTATTGTGATAGTGTACAGATTCTTGTGTATGAAGTTAATGCCTTTTTAGGTAGTACATTTGCATGGTAATATTACTTACCGTATTTTAAATGTTTAATATAAACTAATGCGTTGAAATTGAAAGAAGGGTCAACTAGGTAAAGGTTGGTACAGCAAATTCGTAAGGTTTTTTTTTTGTTTTTTGTTTTTTGTTTTTTTTTTCTGAAGAATGTGGATTCCATTGAAACTCTTATTGTTTGCAGCTTCCCACGTTCTAATTAATCTACCGTTACCTGGGTAACTACTCTTTGATTATTTTTAAGGTGGCTTAATTTTACAGTAGTGGGTTACTATACTAAGCTTAATGTAATAATAATAATAATAATAATAATAGATGGACTTATATAGCGCAAATAAACGAGGTCCCTATGCGCTAGACAATATTGAAGTCAAGAACACAAAGAAAAAAGCCGGAAAAAACAAAACAAAACAATAAAACACCAAGCTAGCACCCAAGCCGAAGTATGGGGTTACACCATCACCGCCAGCACTAAAAATTGCAAAACCCACCCACCCAGACGTCAGCAATTCATAGAAATAAATAACTACAGTACAAAAAAAACTTTGGTGATTTAACTTTAACTTTATTTATTAACTCAAAAACACATGTTCGCTCCTTATCTTTTGGTCGATGAACTATCAAATCTTTATTTTGAATTAAAATTGTAGCATAAGGAAAATTACAAAGGATTAATTCAAGAAAATAAAAAGTGTAGACCTTGTGGTCTTATCCATAGCGTTACCATTAATACAAACATACTGTTTTCTATTTTTAGGATAACCAGCAATAACAGTAAACCTCTATTCCATGTATTTCAATTTCTAATACGATAGTATTTTACTTTACTTTATTTGATATTCACCATTCACAACGATGACACTCAATTCAGTGAGTGGTGACTCGTTCAAAAATACACAAAGGTACTCGTAATCGATTACAAATATTGAGATGAAATTACATGAACGCCTTTATAAAAACAGTTAGTCATTCAAGAAGTGAACTGCCAATCTGTAAACCGTATATACTGTATTAAACGTAATTACATTAAAAAAAAAAAGCATTAAATGAGAATTAGCAAAATGATTTTTTGTTCGCGCCGCGTAGGGTAACCACTGAGTATGATTTTTGTGTGCATGCTGTAACCATGACTGTAACTTGTTTGTTGACAACCGCCAATGCATATCAATTCATTTCTACTGGGGGAAAAAACACGTGTTTTTGATAACCACTTAAAATCACATGTTTTTTGCTCAGCAGAAATATATTAGCATAATGTGGACAAGCTTGCAAAGACCGAACATAAGGCAATGGGCTTTTTTTTTTTTATATCAGAAAGATTATATAAAGATAAAGTGGAAATCAAAGCACATAAATACCGTTCAAAAACCGATGAGAAGCAGGCGGAAAATAGGCTCGGTAATTTAAACTGGTGCGCTTGTGGCCAGTGTCAACTAATGCTTACGAACGATCGAAGAACGCCTGTGTTGTAGAGAAGCCATGGTTACAGCATGCACGCAAAGATTACACGCGGTGGATACTCTCTTTCTACGAGGCGTTATTTACACATCTTTTTTACTTTTTTCGCTAGTGACATCACGGTAAAATCGTATATTATAATGGCCTATAAATTGCCAACAAATGATTTTAAGGTTGATTCTATCAACGACAAATAAAGTATGTACATGTGTAAGTACACGAACATGCTTACACACACTAATATACACATATGTATGTACCATATGGGTGCATACTTTTAAACCCAGAATTATTTTAAATTACAATACACTATTTGAAATATGTGTCACATCTTTTTCTCCATTAAACGCATTTCATGCATACAAACTGAATAAGTGTGGACTATTTTGTAAAGTTAAGCACTCTTAACATTTAACTAATGTTGACCCACTGGACTTATTTAATACGAAAACTAAAATACTGTGAACCATTTTACAAATAAAAGTATAAAATTCAAATTTATGTAGACCACCTTTTATAAAATTGGACCCGTTTTTTGCTTATAAGCTGAATAATATCAACCATCTTAAGCTTTGTCTATCAAATGGACCTTTCCTCTAAGTCTGCCCCTTCGATATTGTTGGTAAGGTCTCACAAGACAGCAGTGTTAAAACCATAGAGATATAATAAGAATACTAGAGCGCTAACTGCAATTTATTCGATGTTCGAAATACGCAGAGCTGAGTGTGTACCATCCAAGATGGCTGCCAAAGATTCAGCCAATCAAATTTCGCCTAAGCATTATCATTTTCAATGGCGCCCTCAATTTACAAAGAAAGTTCAGTACAGCTGGTTACCCGTATGTTTGAAACTCGAGCGTTGCGGTGTATGGGTGTGATGTACACGATTTTAATTCTTTTTACATTTTTTAATAAGATGCTCTACTTGGCCTCTTTTTGGCTACGATAGTTTAATAATCAGTCAGAGGGCTTATTTATGGTAATAATATGTATACTAAGCCTGAAGGTGGCGCTTTCCTACAGCAGCCATCTTGGATGGTACACATACACAACTTTGCATTGCTTCGCCATCTTGTCAGCACTCTAGTTGTATAGCTCTATGGTTAAAACATACGCAGGCACGTGCGTTTGTGGGACAACACGTGTGATTGTAAGACGCGCGCGTATTCCTAGCGCTGTTCTGATTAGTCAGTTGGTAAGTTTGATTGACACTCCGGAAAGGTCTATTATTCCATGTGACAAAAAAATGCGATGTGCCCATATATGGGTACAACGACGTGATGCCTTTTTGATGAAATGTGATAATGTAGACGAAGCTTTAATTAATGGGACCCCTTTTAGTTAAAACTATGTGCCCCCACATTTTAAAAGAGCGGACCAATTTTATGCGTATTTAAACTGAATGAACCATTAAAAAAATTGGAGCTATTTTGAGTATAAAATTTCAATAAAATAGAACCATCTTTTTAAGATCGTCCAACTTCAGATGCATAAATTAATCTATTTATGTATAATTTTGAAGGTAAGGTTTAAAAACTGGAGACGAAAGATCAAGCGGGACTGTCCCGATAGTTCAAATAGCTGGCTAGAGATAGCCCTATTGCAACTGGAGTTCTAATACAATGAAAGTTTTGAGCATAAGAAAAATATATACAGTGTGAATGATGGTATAGTTACATTGTGAGGAGTGCTAATAACATTAGAAACAAAAGTATGTTGTGCATTTAATATATTGTGTTTAATAATCCACTGGCTGTTCTATAGATTCTAAAGGGGGAAACGGTTAAACGATTGTAGCAGCACGCCCTCAATATCCATTTTCATTACTACCATTTTGATGTTTGACAAAATCCATCTAATTCTGTAAGTAACTTGCTATAGCCCAAGGTCGGTGGCAGTGCTGATAATTTAAAGAACGATCAAATCAATTGATCAAACCAATTCTAACATAGGTGTTGAAGAGCATTGAAGAGCAAATTGCATTGTTGTGCAGCCTGTATTATAAAAAGAATTAAACAGAATAGCATTAAGATCACTACAATAATGATTAACACTAAACTTACACTTACAAAAGTTTGGGTGATGTTTGGCGACGTGGAAACAAATGGTAAAATCTCACAACATAGCTTATTGTTTTTACCCATTACATGTTATAATATTCCTACCATTAACTTGCTTATCTTCCCAGTAACAACTGGGTCAACTCCCCTGATGTTGGACATAATTAAAGCATAAATGGGCATGTGCAGATTTCCGAAAATAGCACTTAACGCCATTTCTAAGCAATGTCTCCAGACGAAATGATGGACTGGTCCAGTGCCCCTTCGATCCCCACTAGCGCCACCACTAAATTATTAAACGTAGTGTACAGTGGTGGACGGTACGGTAAGTGCAGGGTATGCTTGGATGTGCGAGGGGAATGCACCCCTCCCCCGGAAAAAATACTTGCCCATCCCCAGTCGCGTCCCCGTCCACAACCCATGCTCAAGTAGTTAAAAATCATCTAAAATCTCTTTATTTTTTGAGTTACTCCTCTCACCAATTCCTTGAATCCGTAAATGGCTGGTATTGAAAATCAGCCATGCGTAAATTCTAAGCAGCTGAGAGTACGATGCGATAGACCCGACTGTGACTTATCCTCGATACCATACCAAAGTAGGCCAAACATTGAAAAACGTTGCTATTCCAATGAACTGTAGCAATCCACTCGTAGAATTAAGCTTTATAAGAATCGCTAAATGAAATGGAGAAAATGTACTACTATATATTTTTTAATTTTGTTTTAGCCAGGGTATGCACGACATATCTTGCTTGGCTTGACGGTCCGTCACTACTGGTAGTGTATTATTTGCTTACCGTTTTATGCATGTTCATTAGAACAGATCTTAATAGACTTCTTACTCTTATAGCAGAAAGATCCTGTTTGTCGCAACACCAAACGTTGACGCCAATCTGTGTTCGACACATAATAAATGTTGTGTAATGGTAATATGTACTCAAATACATAAAATGCTGTGGTTAACTCTCACTGTTTAGAGGAATCGCATGTTCAAACCCAGCTACAGGTATTTTGTCCACCACTATTAAAGATGTATGTCCCATGCTACACCAAAAAAAATCATAAAAATATTTTTTTGAAATTAAGTTGCCCAACATAAAAGTTATCAAATTAAATACAGAAATTAGTGTATTAAAAAGTGTCTACCCATCAGTTTACAGCAAAAAATGATAAAAACACTTCCAGTCACTGGAAGTGTTTTATTATTTTTATTATAATGTTTTGGTTTGAAAATCAGGGTACACATTTTTTAAAATTCAATAATTTTTATGCACAAGTTAATAATTTGTATGTTATTGCAATATGAGCAAGTTTATTTCAAAATTATATTTATGATTTTTTGACATTTGCAAGGAAAAATACATCTTTAAGGTCTTGTGCTAACTGTAAATAAATATAAATACATTTTAAACGACGTTAGAAAATCAAATCCGACTGGAGGATCATATTGTCTTTAATAACAATGAAAATATATTTTATCAAAAAATGATTACGGTTTGCTTGATGTCTCAACTAAGTTATAGCGCTAAGCTTGTGCACTCCTTTAGGATGTTCTTAGTGACACGATTTTTTTCAACAAGATATCATGTAATACAATGGACAGTCACGAGTAATACATTTTTCAACAACATTCACGTACCATTAGTTGTAGCTCTCTGTATGGCTTCTACAGTGCTTCGCTCAAGGTTTGCTAAATATTTAAAAATATTAACGTTGTAATTGTTAATATACATCAAAGATCTTATAAACACAAGATAGCGTTCTCCGCGATTTACGCATAACAAATAGAAGCGTCGGTCAAGGTTCAAAAGTTTCCAATTTAGCAAGAGGGCGCCATTCATGCGCTATTACCGAAGAGAAAAAGTAATAAGTTTTGGAAGAGGGCGTCCTATCTGTTGCCATGGATCTGAGACGGTTCCTGTTCTGCTGTTCACAGGCGGTGTACTGTATGGTTAGATCAGAGCGATCAAGGGTCAAAAGTTTCCAATTTAGCAAGAGGGCGCCAATCATGCCCTATTACAGAATTTGCACGCGTAAATCCCGGAGAACGCTATCTTGTGTTTATAAGATCTTTGATATATATGAAGACAAAATAATACACGCTGCTTTTTATATTTTAGTAAAGGATGTGTACCAAAAATGTATGAAGGGGTAAAGTATTATGTAGGCCCTCTATATAAATAGGCTATCTCAATAACATACCATTAGTTGTAGCTCTCTGTGAGGCTTCTGTAGTGTTTTGCTCCAAGTTTGCTAAACATAAAAAATATTAACGTTGTAATTGTTAATATACATGAAGACAGAATACAGTAATACACCCTGCTTTATATATTTTAAAGGATGTGTACCAAAAATGTATGAAGGGGTAGAGTAAATTATTATGTAGGCCCTTTATATAAATACGCTTTCTCAATAACACTTAACAGATCAAACCATAAGTTGTCTACCCCTTCTCTCGATTGTGAATCTACTAATTTTATTTATTTGATATAATGCTCTTTTTTCAACAAATCTGGGCCATTACATTGCCTCAAGCAATGCATCAATTACCAGGCAATGGTTACAAACAATGACAAACCAGACCAAACCAGATATACGTAGCTAAACAGAAAAAGCATTTATAACTAGATACAACAACCACCAACTAGATACAACAACCACAAAGCCTCCTTCAAGAACAACCAATAGACTCAACACAGAATTAAGCAAACACAAATGACAGCTAAATACACAATGTGGAATTAATTAGCACAACATTCCTAAACACACCAAACCATAATATACGCATCATCGACAGGATGCAACCTGTGCATATGAAAAAGTACTACATAATTTGTTATCCCAAACTATCTACCTTAAATAAACATAATGAACTTGTTTCAGCCTTGGACAATGAAAAACCATTCCAAAAGTTTCATTCAGATCCACTTTTTAGTTTAAAAGATATTTAGTCTGGGATTAAAAAATTTCATACTTGTTTATTATCTGACAAAAGTTTAACATCTGACAAGTAAAATGTAAAATTTTGTTAATTTCTAAGTAGATGTAACTGCTCACTGTTATGATTGAAATTTCTTCTTATGTGGGCTAACACTGATACTTCAACTTTATTTGCTAATTATAAAAGAAGATTAATAACCAACAAGTTTTATTATTCTAAAGCATACACATTTTAGAATATAATTATATAACAAAAATGTATTACTATTTTGACACTTTTCGGTTTTATGTAAACACATCAAGTATTTTAAACAACTCTTCTCATGATTACTTAATTTTATGAGCTCTGGCTTATATTTTATAGCCTAGGATGAAAAAATAACCATGAAAATCGACTAGTTCGAATGAAGATGAGACTAACCTGGACATAAGAAACGAACTTTGTAATCGGAGCAGGAATTTCCATTTAGTACTCGTAAATATTGGAAACCAAGAGAGGTGGAGCAAATAACATTTTCACCAGTTGTTGTATATGGTTCGCCAGATATGGTCTGGCATTCAATTCCTAAAGGGTTCGCACACATTGTTGTCGAATATTCCCAATTGTGTAAAAAGATTTACGATGGAAAATTTATAAAGTAAACACGATTGTGGATTTGTAACTTGTATAGGCCTATGTGTGTCTGACTAGAATATTCATGCTTGCATATTATGTGCTTTACTGTAAATATCATTTTGATTTATGATTGATTTGATTGGCCTATATTTTGAATTTAATGTGGCAGTTTAGTGTAGTTTTGTTGGTATGACGTGTTATGTAGGTTCAAAACGTAAACACTCTAATCTCAGTAAATATATTATATGTAACTTGTATAATGTGATATGATATGATGAAAAATATTGGATCAATTTCCTATAGAATTATATTTCTATAGAACTATCTCTATAGAAAATGGATGGGTTTTATATAGAGAAAAAATATTGGATCAATTTTCTATAGAATTATTATTTCTATAGAATTATCTCTATAGAGAATGGATGGGTCTTATATAGAGAAAAAAATATTGGATCAATTTTCTATAGAATTATATTTCTATAGAACTATCTCTATTCTATAGAGAATAGATAGGTTTTATATAGAGAAATAATTCTTGGATCCAATTTTCTATAGAAGTCTATAAAAACCCATAAATGTCTATAGACTTTCTATAGAATTCTATAAAACATTTTACTACGGGGTGTTATGTAGGTTCAAAACGTAAACACTCTAATCTCAGTAAATATATTATATGTAACTTGTATAATGTGATATGATATGATACAAGACTACGTGTGAAATGGCTAATACAAAAGCCAAAATCACAGTTTGTGCAAAAAGGGTGGAGCGTGGCTAGAAAGCCAACAAGGGACGTATTCAAGGGAGAGCCATGGGAGCCGCGGCCCCCCCCCCCCCCCCTTCTTGTAAAGAGTTAGAATTTTAAAGCTTTTTCTTGTTAGCCAATATAGGCCTGCAGATTCTTTCCTGGGATCACTCAAAATGAATACTTATATGAAATATGTAAATATGCATCAGCACATTGGTGTTGATATAAATGCTGTACAATTTCTAATTGACTCTTTCTACGGTAGGTTTGTGACCTGTACTCTAATAGAAACTCATCATTAACTTCTATCAACTAAAGTCACTCGATAATCTGATAGTAACCCAATGGAATATTCATTAGGTTAATCAATTTTTCACTGTACAAATAATGCAAAAATTAAATTTTCAGGTTTATAACGACTACCGGTACTGCTCAAAGATGTGGATTCAGCAAACATACTTAACAAAAAAAAACTTAAATTCGTCTTAAATCTATAAATCCCAGGCCAGGTCTTTTAAAATGGTTCAGTTGGTTGTTATCATTCCAAGCATTATAAAGTTTTGTTTAATACTACTAAAGTATAGTAGTAATAATAATAAATAATAAATGACGATGATAATGATGATGATGATGATAATGATGATGATGATGATGATGATGATGATGATGATGATGATGATGATGATGATGATGACGGCGATGTTGATGATGGCGATGTTGATTATGGTGATTCCTGGATATTATGTAGATCTCTATGGTTGCCGAAGATCCCTGATAAAAGATCATGTGAAATTTGTTGGCGCTCCATTTTGACTATAATGGTGATGTGACAATGATGATAAATTTTACTATTTAAAAGTGTCATTCCTGGCCATCTAGAGGTACTACTTTTTTTTTTAATTTTCGCAACCATGGTGGGTCTGAGGTGATTGTGAAATCATGAAATGTCTCGCCATCCCACACCTTTCAAAGCAGATCTGCGCCCTTCCCTAGGTATGACATTAAATTCAATTGAGTCGGCATGTGACTCAGAATGTCTTAGTAACTGGGGAAGATGCATAAATTTTGTTTTCTGGATGTGATCTGGTTTTTTCATGCCCATTTTTCGTGATTATGACTATATTTGATAAAGAATGTTTTGAGCAGGGAGCAGTAGATTCAAGGTCCTCCCTCCTAATTTGTTTTAATGCAAAAAAAAAGAAAATTAGTTTTAAATTTAAGTCTGAGAGTGTAATTTCCAGCCATCTAATCATAAATTCTCCTACCTCAGCCCCACGGTGGACCCTCCGTCTGTGAACGTCCCTTCCTGGGTAACCTTTCTTTTGATTTTCCGGATTTGCTACTATTGAGTTATTGCAAGGCTTACTTATAATAGGCCTATATGATCGTCTATGACAAATTTC